CCACTCGGGCAAAATTCAAAATATCCTACCAACTGAAAATATTAGGTGTGTCCCGCGCGCTCATATGACCTATGCAGTTGCGAGCGCCGTAAAACACTTTACCAAAAAAATATAAAAAATAGGTGCTTCAGAAATGGCCTCAATGCTTGAAGAAGAGAACATCTTGGTGACGCAAGGCTGAATATTGTTTACATGTTCCATTGAAGCATTGTCTAAACCTGCTAGATTGGCTTCATTCGAACAATGCAATGCTCTGAAGTGCGTGGTTGGAGAGCGCGACTGGTAGATCCTACTTCTTTACTCTCTCTCTATTGTTTCTGACTGCCTGTCTAACTTTTTTCCAACACTAAATTACCGTTATTCTGTCGATTTGCGTCAGACTCAAACAAGCAAACAAATAAACAAAACAGCAATGCCCTGATCGGTCGCTTATGTAACAAACAATTAAACAACTAACACAGCTCACTGGCACTCACTTAATTGTCACATCGTTGGTGTAGTGAGTTTGTGTTCATGAGGTCACTTAGGCTTGGCCTGAAATTTTGAAGCCTCGATTACCGGAATTCAATAGCAAACGAAACCAGCATAAAAATTCCAAGACTTTCACCAGAAAACCGGGAAAGGGCTATTGGACGACTACATGCTGGCGAGTCTGCTCATCATGTGCAAATGCTACAGGTGTGCATGTCACCGCCATCTACAGGCTACAGAACCGGTTTTACGCCACCAAAAGGTCTAAAGGTTTATGCAGTTCAATTTGCTGACTTTCTCGATAATGGGAGTTATAAATAAGATTTTTTGCGGTACGTGAAGATAATTGGCTGTTAATAATTCCTCTATCCGTAGCTTAGACGAATTTTTAAGGGAACAAATACGGTGGAGTCTGAGGGTACCCGCCCACAGATCACGGAAAGCAACGGAACGGAACGTATTTTTTCCGTTTTGATTCGTGACAAAAAAATTACACAACAGATTCCTCCTAATTGAGTAATAAACATTGTATTGCGGCAGTCTCTGCTCCCACACACCACGCAACGGACAGTAACGGAAAGTGGCGCCCAAAAAGAAAAAATCCGTAACGCATGCGCTATTTTTTTCCGTTGTCTGTCGGTAAGGGAACATCATTCTTCCTCTTGAACAAGCACACACTACACATGCGAGGTCGTTTTCTCAGAACTGGCATACACCTGCTTTCGTATTCTCAAAACAAGCCACAATAGATGACGAGAGCTTATCTTAGCTGAAGAACGACCTGTTTTGTGTGAAAAAGCGCATCCCAAATATTCTTCGCCGAATGATTCTCGTTGTTCAAAAATGGGGTGAATCCAAAATCTGCGGTGCTTTTGCAATAGTTCGCTCTTGTTCCACAACCACAATTATATTTTTTGCTTCCTATTTACCACCATCTTGTTGGCATACCACGACTGATTTTTCCCTGGCTCTGTGGGTTTACAATTACGCACGGAAACAGACAGATTCTGACGGAACTTTTACCAATGCAAAATGTTCGTTGTCTGTGGGCAGGTACTCTAAGGGCACCACTATTATAGACCACAGAACTGAGAGTATGTTTGGGATGGTTTGAAGGAGGCCGGGGGGGGGGGGAGTAACGATTGAAGTCGGTAGGTTTTTTATACAGATCTGACTCAATTTGGTTATCTGCAATATTGTTATTATAGCTTCAACAATTAAATTATTGTTATAAGTATGAGAAGAAAAGTGTTACTTTGTTGTTGTTTTTTTGTACTCCATTTCTTACGATGTTTTATCGTTTGAAGTTAATATATTATGTGAATGAATGATCTCCTTAAAGAGTTATAATAAATAAATAGAGAGAGCAAAGAAGCATTCGGAGATTATTTGGGGAGGGGAAAGGGGGGAAACGGGATACATTGGGGATAGAGGGTTGGAAGTGTAGCAGGAGTATTTATAACAGAAGGGGTTGCATTTCTTTGGAGTATGAGGTGAAATGTTAGTTTGACGGATTGTGTTCGCAGCTAATGTGGCGGCTTGTAAGAAAGACAGATCTTGTAGAGGTTGAAAACTGGATCTCTCGGTGTTGGGTGGCTTTGGAAATAGCCAACGAGACAAATAAAGCTTCTCTTTTTTGCGCCCGGTGTGCGCCGAATGTAAGGCCAAAATTAGAAGAAAATACTGGACGCTTGAGCTATAAATTTCTGATGCAACTTACCTTAAATTCTTTTCGTTTCTTCGACATGATTATGTTGCGTGCGATCGTGAAGAGCCCAATGGTTACTACACATGCGGCAGAATCACCCAATGAACTTAGTTCTTTTGTTGTTTGTTTGTTGTTGGGGTTTTTTTTTTGGGGGGGGGGTTTCTTGGGGGGGGGGGCGTTCTTGTACGGGTTTTTTTTTCTTTTTTTGTATTTGTTTTTTTTTTTCTCTCTATTTTTATGGGTGCCAGATGTTAGATACGTTTACGCCTTAACACTGTATGTTGGTCTTTTAGTTTCGACTTTATCGCCTACTTTAGTTCTCCATGGGCCGTCCATTCCCTCTCCTCACATATAAACTTAGTTCAGCTATGATGCAGAATATGTAATAAGAACGGCTTATGCTGAATAAAACTCCCTAACGGATGTGGTTACTTTATGGTAAAACGATACTGGCTATCTTCATCTCTTTTCTTTTCTTTTACGTTAAGCAGCATATATCTTGAAGCGCACATAAGTATTTTTCCATAGATGAAACTGGTTCTGGGCATCAAGGATAACATATCTCAAAGCGTTTTTAGTTGCGGGCATGCCAAAAATGATTATTCATCCTGGGAGTGGCGAGAAAAAGATTTGTAGTCGCTGGGCCATCAATGCAGACACCTCGATAATTGGTAAAACGTTGAGCGGGCTGCAGGCCTACCGCACTTAATTTCATTAAGTTCCGGGAGGAGCTACCCTTGAGGACCATTTTCTATGTTTCTTGCCCGAGATCAAATCTAAGTACACATAGTAAAATCTCTTGATACGTAATTTTATTTTGGCATAGCTACAACGGTTGCTATGGAAACGGCCGCCATCTTGAAAATAAACAATGAATTTGAAATCCCTAAGTTCTTATTTACAGACCAAATTTTACATTGATGACAGTCTTGCCAACTATGTTTCCTGAAAGTTTCATGTCAAAAGGACGAAAACTAAGGAAGGAGTAGGGAAAAAACTGCACAAAATTACATTTTGCGAAAACCGACAATAATTGTGAAAATTCACTATATTTATCCATCCTCATGTTTTTAAAGGCAAATTACCTGTAAATTAAAGTCTTTCTCAATTTAATCCATGCTATTTTTAGACAAAAAACTGGTGGATCTTCAAAAATCAGACAACATAAAATGTGCATAGCCTGACCCAAAATCTGCAAAATCAAGGGTCGCTCCTCCCCTAACCCACCAGCACGGTTCAGCGCAGAACTTAGCGTGTCCTGTAGTCCTACGCCACCCGCTTGACTTGGGAAGCGCGGCTTGAACTGACCGGACTCTTCCATGAGTCGTAGTCGTTAGTCAGTGCGTAACAAAGAACATTGTCTTGGGTGTACATTGATAACTCTTTGTTTCTCTTATTTAATCTTTAATGAATAGTGTGATAACTCTGTGGCGCTTATTTCTATTTCAAATGTAAAGGAGTTATAACAAGGAGGTTCAAGACCATACCAAAAGTATTGTTCTTTTTCAGTCGGATCTTTCTGCGCATGTCAGTGTTGCTATTTCATTTGAAAGGACATTCGAATGAACGGATGGGATATTTCGGACATCGCAAGAGGTGAGGATGTTCTCAAATTATTTATTTTGTTTTGCCTTTTCAATTAGGAAAATTAAATAGCTATAATTCTCAATGAAAGAAACATGCACCCTACTTTTGCACTTAGAAATGCTGTGTACTTACATTGAGTAAACGTTTTGTATAATAACAGATGTTTTTTTTTTCCTGGTTCTAAAAAGATATACTTTTTTAAAGCAGAGTGCTAAGCTTCGTTACCTGTAGGGACGTCTTACTTCTCCCTGGATATAAAATTTTGCGAGGAACCCACAGGTTTACCAAAATTTCAGGTTCGATATTTGCACAAATGTCCTTAATGTAGCATTGTTAGAAAATATCAGAAATGAAAAGATTGCCTGAATGGTAAGTCAAAAGAGACCTAGCCCAATTTGGAAAACCAACCATTCTTTAATTGCTTAACATATCTACAACCTCTTATGGTATGATGATTATGTATAGTTGCCTAACACTGCAACTAATTAGAGAAATTTTGAATACATGTATGTACTTAAACATTCTTTGAGTTTGAAAATCAGCTTTAAAAAGTGTAAGTGTATGGGTTTGGCGCCTCTATCAACACTTTTGGGTTATCTAAGAGGCGATAGAACGGAACCAAAAGGGTTGAGAGCCCTGGGAAACTCCACAAACAAACTGAGTTCAAAAACACCTAGTCTGGGACTGGAACCAGGGCCATCTGCTCCGTATTCCAGCATTTTAGTCAAATGAGCTACAAAAGCGGACATTTTTTTTTAAAATTCTGCAACCTGAAAAATGAAGCACGGGGTAGGGGTGGGGGGGCCTTAATATTGAGACTTAGAATGTTGAATGTAAATTAAATAACTGAGCATAAAAAAGGAAAGCTTTAAAATTGTAGTAGCAATGACGCTTTCTTTTTTCGGGACAGGGGGGGGGGGTGTTTAATTTTGTTTTTGTTTTATTTTATTTTTTCATTGTTTCTTGTTTATGTCGCGTCGTTGTTTTGGGCAAGTGAATTTTGTTGTTGTTGTTGTTGATGTTTTTAAATTTCTTTTTGAGTTTTTCCCCCATTATTTTATCGAGGGAGAGATTCACTGACCGGATTTATTAGACACTACACTAAGAGCACGCAAACCATAAATTATGCGAGCGATGTGTGACCAAACTATGTAACTGAGACTGGAGAACAAGTTCTGTTGCGATAATATCTTTGCAGCCATCATTAATTTTCTTTGTTAGAGGCTATCCAAAAATGTAATAGGTTTTAGAGTCCATTGTAGCTGTTATTGTTTTGTTGGTTTTTAAAAAATGTATAACAACATCCTTGTTGGGAAAAGACGCGCAAAACGACCTTTTGCGGATTGAAAAAAAAAGTGTTTACGTTCACCAATTTAAAAACTACGGCATATACGTTTCCCATGAGGATTTTGTTTACTTGCAGGAAACGATTTATGCACTTTCACCCCCCCCCCCCAAAAAAAAAAAGATTGTACCAGCTTTGAGCATACTGGATATGTCGAATTCATTGACAAAGGTTCACCAGACAGAAAATTGTTGGGTTTTTCTTTCGGAGTAGCTAAAGAACACATTTCTTCCAACATTCGTCTTCGCTGTCATGACCCCTACAGATCTAGTAATGCGTACGCAGTGCAGAGGCATTTATAATCAGAAACGAAACAGTCAATTACTTAACGGAAATAGAACAGGTAGTCCTACCGTCCGCGGCCACTATAATAATATGAGAGTAGTTCTTGACCTAGTCCGTTGTTCTGTTTGCTAACCTTTTCATGTGCCAACGTTAAGTTCAAACCCTTCTCAACATAGAAGCAATATGAATTAAACCTCCAAATGCATGTCGCTTCGGTGTAACAACGTAATGTACTTGTAAAAGAAATTGTCAATTTCATATCATACATGTGTACAACAGTTTGCTATTTTGCCGCGCTGCTGCCCGTCCTGTACAGCAAGATTCAAGTCTCGTTGTTAAGTTCACAAAAGACGTGATTTCGGTTCTCACAACGGATAGGTATACAAATATTATGTTCTTCTCGTATCTGGTATTAAAAATATTGGTGAACATGTGGTTGGATGGGGGCTGCCCTGGGGGGGGGGGGGGGAGTGACATGTCCTTTATGGCGCTCTTATTTTTATTTGTGTGTGTGTTTGTGTGTCTGTGTGTTTGTTTGTGTGTACGTGCGTGCGTGCCTGCGCGCGTGAGTAAGTATGTGTGTATGTGTATGTGAGTACGTGTCTGTGAGTGCGTGTGCTTGCGCGCGCGCGCGCGCGCGTGTGTGTGTGTGTGTGTGTGTGTGTGTGTGTGTGTGTGTGTGTGTGTGTGTGTGTGTGTGCGTGCGTTCGTGCGTGCCCACCTATCTAAAAATCTGTCTTAAAATAGGTTAAGCGGTGTCCCGAAGACCCTATTTGACCCCAAACATTGATTACGGCTAAAAAACAAAACTTGAGGTCATGAACGGCGTCCGCTTTTATTGAGAGACATACCAACCAGAAAATTGCTCAGGTATGACCAGCGTTACAGTTTCCAAGGTCAGGAAATAAGCCCAGGGAGGAATAACAAGAGAACATAATCACTAGGGTGTAAAAAAAATCCTGGGCACCATAAAACCCATTGTCTATGTCCTAGTTTCACTATTACCACAACATTTTGACCAGTGTGGCATGACAAGGGGTGGCGTTAGTTTGTGATTTGACCTTCTGGGGACAGTGAAATTCTAACTCCGTCACAAAGACGCGCTAGCGCTACCCTAACCCCCCCCCCCCAACCGCTCCCCCTCACACCTCGACCACCACTCACAGTCGTCGATAGTTAAACCAAGGTGAAGGACCCCTGTATGTCGCTGTGACCTGACATTTAACAGCGAGCCCCAGCTGGCAAGGCTTCCGTTCTTCTTACAACTGTTTCGGTATTGACAGTTCGTATTGGGCAATCAAAAGGGGACCGAATGCGTGAACGAAAGTAGTATGCGGTTAACAGTCTTGAACTCTTTATGGTCGCTTTTAAGGACAAGCGGGCTAACCCAGATTTTGGAGTTTTCCAGAAATTTTGACCTACACCAAAAGTGGGCATTGCTCTACCTATAGGAGAAGTTTGGTTCCGTTGGTGTGTATATTTGTTTGGTTATAGAGAGAAGTCTCCTTGTCTTTTAAAGAAACTGAACAAGGGGCAAAAACTTTACCTTCGAGTTTCTCAAAACAGCATTTTTCGGGACAGCCCCCGTGCGCTTAAAAGTGACCTTATTTGGAAAAGGGAATTGATTTGGTGAACGGCAGTGAGAAGGCCTGCCAAGGAGTTCTTCTTGAATCTTGTGAGCTGCCCAGTAAGGGGTCGGGGAGGGGAGGTGGACAAAGGGGGGGGGGGGGGGGGAGGAACACAGAGTTTCACACTATAACTTAATATAAAAAACAATTTCAACACGTTATGTACCTCTTTTATTCTCGTTGCAGTTTCTCTTGCTTTCATAGTTTTTCCTTTTGCAGCTAAAGTCACTTTAATGTAGATCTACATTCTGTGAAACCTACTCTAACAGCCATCTGTCCAAGACAATCACCAGTTTGTTTTGTTTTAGTAAGAGTTTTACGGCACTTGCAACACAATAAGGTCATATAAGTGCTGAAGATTAGAGGTGTTACCAGAGAGTACATGTAACAAACACAAAAAAGGAGGAGAGATAAGGACGATAGAAGTGTAATAGGAAAGAAGGAGCAAACAATACCAGAGCACCCGCCAACCACTC